AAAAAAAAAAAAAAAAAGAGAAGAGAAGAAAAGGAAACTGAGTTCAAGAAGTTAAACTGGTCAAAAGTCATCCACCCTCTCAGTAGCAGCTGAACTGGATTTTGGCTTCTCAGAGGCTTCTGGCTGCACTCCTTCCCATGGTCTCCATGGCCCTGGTAATCCAGCCCCTCTGCGGCCCTCTGCACAGGATGTCTGGAATGTTCTTCCTCTCTTTGCCCCTCTTCTACTCCTTGCTCGGTTATCACTTGCTCTTTTTTTTAAATCTTTATCGTCAGTGTTGCCACCCCAGAACCACTCTGACACCTTATGGGTCTTTCTTATATATCTCTTCATGCCATTTATTGCATGCTGCCATGACACTGTATATTCACCAATATCCACCTTCATTGTCCCAACTGGGACGTAGCTTTCTAAGGGCTGGGCTTCCCGGCACACAGAAGGGTCAGGAAACACTTGTTGCGTGCCTGCACCTTGCCCAGGTGTGGGTGTGCTGAGCCTACCCCTCCTCTTGCTCCACTGAGTCCTCAAGGCTATGATGTCTAGGGGAGGCCCCGGGCAAGGACACCCGCTCGGGCAGGTGCTTCCTGTTACTGCAGCATGGGGGGCTGCCAAATGCTAGAGAACGCCAGGCTCCTGCCCACGCCCCCAGGACTCCCTGCCTTCTGGGGACTCCTGGACTCATTGAGGGTGCAGTGTTGTGGGTCATTGTCTCATGTGTACACAGCTCCCCCACTAGAAGGCAAGCTCTCGGACAGTGGACAGGGCTCAAACCCAGGTGTGCCCCAATTTCACATCGACTCCTGATTCTGTCTCCCCCTACCTCTTCCCCTTCCTCAGTAACAGGCATTTGAAAAGTGATGCTGAAAATAGGGCTCTTTTGTAAATCGAGTGTAGACATAATGCCAGGCAGAGAGCAGTTCCTCAGCAAACCAATAAAAGCTAATCTCTGTTGAGCACTTACTGTATACTAAGTCTTATGCTCTGTACTTTATACTCATTATCCCTTTAAAAGTCCACAAGAACTCGAGGAAGCTTGTGCACATGTGCTCATTACGACGGATGAGACAAGAGTCTGTTGCCCAGGGTCATGTTGTCATTAAGTGGCACAGCTGGGCCATCCGGCTGCGGTGTACACACACCTGTGTGGGTATGTTGCTTCACCCTCTCCCTACACCCACCACCACCTCACCCCAAGGCCAAGTTGGTGCAATAGCTTGGTAGCAGGTCTTCAACTCTAGCGTCTCCCTGTTCCATTTCATGCGGACCACGGGAGATGGTGAGCCTGTGAACTTTATCGGTTTCATGACTGCCACCCAGGATCCCGAAAGGAAATGAGGAGGTACGGAATGAGGTTGTTCAGTGTGGGCCGAGGTGGGAGGAGTTGAGGAATTCCCTTGAGTTCAGGAATTTGATACCAGCCTGAGCAGGATTGAGATCTCATCTCTATCTAAAAATAGAAAAACTAGCCATGCGTTGTGGCACACTAGTAGCCTCAGCGCCTCAGGAGTTTGAGGCAAGAGAATCGCTTGAGCCCAACAGTTTGAAGTTGCTGAGAGCTACGATGATACCACAGCACTCTATCCAGGGTAACAGAGTGAGACTCTGTCTCAGAAAACAAAGAAGTTCAGTGTTTTCCAAGAGGTGGCTGTGAAACACCAGTCCTGAAAGATGGTCCCCACCCCTGACAAAAAATAAAGTTTGTGGGACCAAATCCCAAAGTTACAACTTGGAGAGTCCCACCATAGATGTTAGCATAGTAAAGGCTCTGAGAAGTCCTGCAGTATAGGGTCTGGATTCTCCATGGCCAGGCTGGGATTTCCCAGACTGACTGGACCCAAGAGCTCCTTTCCCACCTTGCCTGGGCTATCATCCCACATCAGGCTCCAAAAACCCCACTTTATCGGAAGTGTAGAAATAAAAGACTCCACAGCCTTCCTTACAACACAAGGGGGAAAATCTTCTAGGATCAGTCGAGAGGGGCATTTCCAACACTGATTGTTCTAGTTAGCATTGGCGCCTGCAACTGATTTACTTCTAAAAGGAAGGAAGAGTGTGCTCAAGGTTGGCCTTTAACATCACTCTCATGACTTAATTTGATTAAAAAGGTAGAGCTTTATGGCTTGGTGCCCATAGCTCAGTGGCTTGGTGCCCACATGCACCTGGGCTGGCAGGTTTGAACCCTGCCAGGGCCTGCTAAACAACGACAACAATAACAAAAAAATAGCCGGATGCTGTGGTGGGCACCTGTAGTCCCAGCTACCTGGGAGGCTGAGGCAAGAGTATCACTTAAGCCCAAGAGTTAGAGGTTGCTGTGAGCTGTGACGCCATAGTACTCTACAGAGGGCAACATAGTGAGACTCAGTCTAAAAAAAACAAAACAAACAAACAAACAAAAGGTACAGCTTTAATTAGTTCAACAGGAATGGCACAAAACCCTGGGATAACTGCAGGGACCTCTTCTAGAGCATAGCTATTTTCTGTGCCCCCAGCACAAGTAAGGGGGCTAAGGAGTGGGTCCGTAGAGAAGGGCTTATGGAGTGGAGTAGGCCTGGGTGGAGACTTTGCCATTTGTTATCTGATTGGCCAGAGTTTGCCATGGAAATTCTCTGAACCTTGGTTTCCTGGTCTGTGGAATGGAATATATTAACAGCTCCTTCCTAGGATTGTCCTCAGAATCACATGAGCTCACATAATTAGATACCTGCTGCATGCCAACTACCCAGTGACCCACACCTCGGCTGCCCTGCTGTGCTGAACCCCAAAGCTCCAATACAAGGAGCTCTGGGTTCCTAGAAAAAATGAACATGACCTGTCTTCCTGGAAAATCACCCTACTCTATGGAAGTTAAGGTCACTATCATCACAGCAAACAGATCTGTTAGAACCGAATATAAAACGTGCATGCAATTTTCAGACCAAATGCAAGATTTCTAACTGTGCTTTTAGGTCTCCCTGGGTACAGATGAACTCTGCCTTCAAGTGAGAAGTCCCTGAGTCAAAAATTTGAAGGAAGCACTAAAAAAAAAAGGTATCCCAAAGTTTCCTTGAAATAACACTTCAAGGAAAGTCTCTCTTTCAAAGATGAAAAATATTTATTTCCCAGTGAAGATATCGCTGTATAGCCCCGTGAGAAACAAGAGTATCTTGTGTAATACTCTAATTTCTGTCTCAGACCTAACTGTGTTAAGTTTGAGGGTGTTTACACAATACCTGAGCAGAAGCGAATAAAACTCCATTCCTGGAGCTTGTCAAAGAAAGTCACAGATGGGGGATATTTCCATCTCTGATCACCTAATTTAGGCTTGGCTGGGTCTTTTCACTTAAAATTGGGAGAAGTCAGTAAAGAAACCATGTCTTATAAACAACTCCAAGTCACTGCTAGAAGGAAAATGCAATTAATAAAACCGTTGATCTCTATTTTTCAGCTTTTAAATGAAAAGTCCCAAGTCCCAGCAATACCCCAGTCCTGGGCAAATTGGGACAACTGGTCATTCTACTTATACGGAAGTCCATTTACATTAAGATATAAAAATAATCATGGTGGGATATGAGAGATATACTTGTGCACCAAGTGAATGCACAGAATAAAAGGTGCGGGAGGCTTTATAACCAGCTGTACACGGCAGCTCCCCTGCTCCCTCCCAGCAAGGAGATAGTTCATTTCTCTCTGTGCTGACATTTCTACTGTCGGATTACTTTGTAAGGTGGTTTTTAAAAATTTAAAGAAAAGCATAAATGGTTTACTCTTACAGCCTACTTTAAAGAAAAAAAGAAAGCAGCAATCACATGAAGAAACATACTTTTCCTTCAGACAGAAGCTTTGGAGGCAAAAAGAAAAAAATCCTAGAACCACCTATAAATGGGCACCGGGATTCTAAGCAACACAGCCGTTTACAGAAGCAAAGGAAGGCCCTTCTCTTTCATCTGCATTGCATTTCAAGGTCTCCTGATCAGCCTCCCTCAGACATAACAGGAACCGTTGTTCCCTTTTGCACATGGCTGCTCTCACTCTGTAATTAGCTCCTGTTCACTAGGATGCCGGCTTTACTGTTGGCGACCCCAGGGACGGGCAAGCTGACTTACCATTTTATTTCTTCAGCTTTTCTCTTCCCGTGGTGGCTTCCCAAATGCATTCAGGGTTACTTAGATGAGTCCTTGTTTGCTTACGGGCCTGAAAGCCTGCTAGCTGCTGACTGTTGTGACTGTAAATGTCACTTTTAGATTAACCAGCCCCCGCTGTTTAAAAATATCCCTGGACACTTAACCTTCCAGGCATGGAGCAGTGGCAGTATAAAGATCCACCCCAGACCACTTGTGCGGGGCTGGCCGCTGGGGAGAGCGCTCTGCCCTCTGACTTTCAATCCCATAATTCACTTTATTTCAAAATTCTTAGATATCAAAGACAGGAGGCATCTAAAGTCCACCTTGTCGTAAGCAACAGGAACAAAGTCGTTTTGGCTCTCCTGGGACATGCTGAAAATTAACTTCCTACAGGTGTTGGTCATTTGAGAAACAAGCCCACAGTGAAAATCTCGAATGGGGAAGGCGATCGCTATCAAATCACCTGGCTTCTCTCCCTGAATAAAAAAAGATTTGGCAAAACCCTCGAGTCATGCCACTTAATGGAACGTTTCCCATTTTTCATGACTTGGGGATAAAAAAATAAAAGGCTTCTTTGTCACCCAGGGTCACTGGCTCTTGCTAAAGCTCAGCAGAGGAAAGGAAATTCAGCACCTGTTGCAGTTACTCGGTGTCCTCCCTGTGGGGAGGGCTGGAGACATCTGGGACAAAGGTCATCTCCAGGTCCCAACTGGAGCAGGCAGTCAGCACCACACAGAAGTGCATTGTGCTTGACAATAGCAAAGAGGGAAAAACAGTTCAGAGCAGTGGTTCTCAACCTTCCTAGTGCTGCGACCCTTTAATACAGTTCCTCATGTTGTGGTGACCCCCAATCATAAAATTATTTTCGTTGCTACTTCATAACTGTACTTTTGCTACTATTGTGAATCATAATGTAAATATCTGATATGCAGGATGTATTTTCATTGTTACAAAGTGGTCACGACCCACAGGTTGAGAACCGCTAGTTTAGAGGCTCCACTTTCTCTAAGCACCTTACAAAATAAAATAGCAAGTGGAAAAACCAGCAGGAGCCCCGAATCCCGGCAGCAGGGTTTAAACCAAGTGCAGCCCCTGCAGGAGCTGCTGCAGTTGTAGGCTTATTTTCCAAGAAGCAAAAGTCATTGAATGTTGGACTTGGTGGGTTTTCTCCACTGGAAATGGAAGCAGGATGTGGACATCGTGGAGCCTCAGTATCATCAGCTGTGACCTGGGCCAGCGCCAGGTCCACGTTACAGGGGCTGGGGCTGAAGCAAGGCAGGCCAGGTGCTTAGCCCAAGCCAGTGTGGTGGCGTGCACCTGTAGTTCCCGCCACTCAGGAGACCAAGGAGGGAGGATAGTTTGCGCCCAGGAATTTGAGATGAACCAGGGCAACATGGCGAGACTTCATCTCTAAAAAATTTTAAAAATTAAAAAAAAAAAA